CTATGTATTGGGAACTGGAGCAAGGATTTCAGGAAGGGGCAGATAAGGATCTATCATGAACTCAAAGAAACTTGGGGCACGTGGCTGGCTCAGTCAGTAGAGTATGCAACTCTTGATCTCGGGGTTGTGAGTTCCAGCCCCATATTGGCTGTAGAGATTACTTAAAAATAAAATCTGTCTTTTGAAGATTTTATTTATTTATTCATGAGAGAGAGAGAGAGAGGGAGAGACAGGCAGAGGGAGAAGCAGGCCCCCATGTGGGGAGCCCAATGTGGGACTCGATCCCAGGACCACGGGATCACACCCTGGGCCAAAGGCGTAGACGCTCAACCGCCGAGCGACCCTGGCATCCCACTAAAAGTAAAATTTTTAAAAAGGAAGGAAAGAAAAAAGGAAAGGAAAGGAAAGGAAAGGAAAGGAAAGGAAAGGAAAGGAAAGGAAAGGAAGAAAGAAAAAGAGAAGAAAGAAAGAAAGAAAGAAAGAGAGAGAGAGAGAGAGAGAGAAAGAAAGAAAGAAAGAAAGAAAGAAAGAAAGAAAGAAAGAAAGAAGAAAGAAAGAAAGAAAGAAAGAAAGAAAGAAAGAAAGAAAGAAAGAAAGAAAGAAAGAAAGAAACTTAAAATTCACTTATTCACTTCCAGGATCTGAAAGATACCCTAGCAATTTTGTATTCATGATTTTTTCTTAAAGACATCCCTCAAATTATAGTTTAGGCTCAACAAAACCCCGAAGAATGGAATGTGCTAAATAGTCTAGAGCCTTCTAGAAATGCCTCAGAAGTGTCAGTGACCTGCTCTATTAGCTATTTACAAGTCCAAATGACCAATCTTTGGCCATCCTTTGTATTTATTAAATTATATCAATAAGACTAGTAGAAGAGATAATGTTTAAGTTTTTACAATCTAGGGATTCCTGGGTGGCTCAGTGGTTCAGCGTCTGCCCTCAGCTCAGGGCATGATCCCAGTCCCAGGATCGAGTCCCGCGTCGGGCTCTCTGTGAGGAGCCTGCTCCTCCCTCTGCCTCTCTATCTCTCTGTGTCTCTCATGTATAAATAAATAAAATCTTTTTTTAAAAAAAGTATTTAGGGATCCCTGGGTGGCGCAGCGGTTTAGCGCCTGCCTTTGGCCCAGGGCGCGATCCTGGAGACCCGGGATCGAATCCCACATCGGGCTCCCGGTGCATGGAGCCTGCTTCTCCCTCTGCCTGTGTCTCTGCGCCTCTCTCTCTCTCTCTCTCTCTCTCTGACTATCATAAAGAAATAATAATTTAAAAAAAAAATTTTTAAAGTATTTACAATCTAAGAAATAGACTTTCTTTTCATGTCAGTATTTAGGAATTCTTTCCTTCTATTTCACTATGAAACTTAAACCATTTCTATTGAATTTATATTTGTGCATAACAATTATAACTTCAGAAGCAGTTGTAAGTGAGATGTTAACTAGAGCTATTTTGTATGTTCATTGCATGTTCATGCTCTGGAAATATGCTTTAGAGGTCAAAACCATGAAAATCTTGATTCTATTTAGATGGAGATTTATCATAATTTGTGAGATACATCCAGTATGGTTTCACTTTAAAACCACAAATAAAGTTTTAACAATCGGCATTTTTCTTGTCGAGAGGGCTGTGGTCAAACTAAACATTTCTCTGAAGCCGATTAGGTCCTGAGGTTTTGAAATTCAATATTCGGCAAATATAGAACATTGTTTGGCCATAAGAAATAATTAAGAACTCCAGAACTAACGCAACTCTCCAGGGTCTGCCCCTCTTTTCTGATGACCTGATAATTGGACATAACCTCTCTGGTCTCAGGCCCGACCATATCCAAGGCTGGGGCAGAAATATCTTTTGAGGATTTAGGTGACATTATTTTAGGTTTTTACATTAGCAAGTCCTTTGTTTGCTAGCACTCAAGTGATGGAAATTCAAATATTATTAAATGCTTTATTTCTTCTCCTCACCCCCAACTATCCTGAATCCAGAAAAATAGACACATGGTCATTCTGTGAAAACAAAGGAACATTGAACAGTAAATTATACAACAGCCAGAACTGTCCACTGTGTATTCATTCTTGTAACGGGCCGCTGGAGGGTAAATTAGCATATTTAGTTTAAATTCTTATAAAATAGAAATGTGATTGTTTTAGTAGTCTCACAGTTTGCATAGTAACCATCATACTTCATGGATGATCTCACTCAAAATAACACAAAGCTCTGAATAAGGGGAAGGGGAATGTTCTATAAACAATCCAAATGGATTAGGTACCTCTACCGACAAGAGGTATTTAATGAAGTCTAAAATCCACTTTTCCTGTACAAACACAGTGTCACCATAATCCTATGGACCGTATTTATTTTCTTGGGGCTGAACTCTTTTTTTTTTCCCAACGATAGGCCTAAAATAAAATATGCAGAAGTCACTGAATTGTTTCTATAGCATTTTCATTGCTGAAAGGGACCTCCAGAGGTCACCTAGTTCATCCCCATCCCCAGCCAGGACTCTCCCTAATACTGAATATAGCTGTATAGTGATCTGCATTAAGAAAGCTTTTAAAGATCCCTGGGGTTGGTCAAAAAATAGCTAATATTGGCCTGATTCATATAACAACATTATACGTATGTCAAAATAGCCACCTTCATCAGGGAAGACATCCATCAGGGTTAAGTGCTAGCAGTAGCTTCAAAAGGAAAAGCTTTATTTTCTCAGTGAAAAGGGTGGTAGATTAAGGAAATGACCCAGCATGTTGGCATTTTGTAAGTTTGTTTGTTTGTTTAGGTGTACACTTAATGCTTATCAAAAAGGAAACATTGTCTTGTCAAAGACCACTGCAGGGGAAGCCCCGGAGGTGGCTGCAAGTAAGCAAATGACAAGTCCTGTAACAAGTCCTTTCCAATAGCTACAAAGCTGGGGGTGGGGGTGGGGGAGGGGGGTGCTGTTGTTTCAAACAAGATCTGATTAGCATCAAGTCAATGAGGGGCAGATGGTGAAACATAAGAATAATATTGACAACTTGAAACTACTATTACACTGTATGTTAACGAACTGGAATCTAAATAAAAACCTTTAAGAAAAAAAGAGAGTGAACCTGTGAAAAATAATAAAAGACTAATATTGACAGACCTGCTTTTTAAGTAATATCTTTTGCCCCTAATTGGCTGAGTTTATTAGCGCTTATAATTTTATTTCTTCAACTCCATTGAAGTGTGGATGCAGAGGACAGGAATTTAAGTGTAATTTCAATCTTCTAAGACAATCACATCGGGTATCGTAATCCTCCACAACTGTATCCAGACTTCTGAATAATTGGATTTAAAGAATGTAGAATCTAGAAATCTAGCCAAAAGAAGACCTGAGGTTCTTATTTGGATTGTTTGGGGCTTGAAGCCTTTCGGTTGAGCTATAGGGAGATTTTTTAAAAATATAGCTATAGCTATTTATAAGTGAGGGACACGTCCTGCCCTGACAATTGTCCCAAGTATCCACTTGGCTTTGTGTATTAACGTCGCATTTTTTCACAGAATATAACTGTAAGGTTGCATAGAAGCCTGGTCAACCATGTGTGCTTTCGGGGTTAGGAGCTGGGGGCGGGGTTGGGGGGGCTAGGTGGAAACAAGCTTAGAGGTTTTTTTTTTACCACATACCCTCTTGTCAACTGTCAAATGCTGTGCTTTGAAACTTCTTTCAAAGGATTCACTTGGAAGTATTTCATTTTTAAAAACAGAGAGGTACCTCTATGCTCTCTTATTAGGCCGGATGTCAGTCTGGGTTACAGGAAGTGGAAAGCTCTGACTCCTGGCCTCTGCCAGCCTCCCTTGTAATTCTTGACTTTGGAAATGGGAAGTCAGCCATTGAGAACTTTTTGATGTGCAGATGCCTTTCTCAGAGAACACTAGCCAACTAACAAAATCTTCAGGTTGTCTTTCCCTGTTGTGAGAGCAAGAGACAAAAGAATAAGAAGATCTCTCTGCAGTGTCTTCTTGGCTTTACAACATCCCCACAGTGGACACCTCGCCTTTGAGTTAATGTGCAGTCTACACCTTCACCATAAAACTCAGGCACTTCAGGTACAAGACTGCCTAAGTTACCTGACTCTCTGGCAGAGCAGTTTTTCTTCTCCCTTAAAACCGCTCAGATAGTTGTCTGTTACTTGTGGTTTGTGTACACAACCTGCAAAAAGTGTTATTTTTTTTCAAGTCACCAATCTAAACCAACTCCCAGAGCAGAATCAAGAAATTCCAAATAGAAGAAACCAAATTAGCTTTTAAGGAAGATCATGCAAATGAAAGTTGTGCAAGGAAAAACAGAGTAGCAGATCCTGTAATTTTTATTACAAAAAAAAAGTTCAGACTCTTTACATGCTATGACATCAAATGTCATGTAGAAGTTCATTGCAAGCACACCTCCTTAAAAATATACATACTGTATATATTTACATTCCAGTCTGAGTAACTGGTGTCAAGGTGTAGTTCAGGTTCTAGTGTTCACCCACCCTGTGGATTTGTTTAGCTACTAACTAGACAGCGATTGTATCTTCACTCAGGCACACGAAGAGGTAGAAACTGCTTTTAAAAGAAAAAAAAAAGTGGAGTGCAAATGTGAAGATCATCAATGAAGCAGCTCCGCTACATCAAGAAGGCCCTAACTAGCTAGCTTTGGTTATCTCAAGCTGAATACATGTAGTCTGTCCTTTAAATTAAAATCCGAAAAACCTTGGGTAGACATTCTTCTCGGCACAGGGGTTTGGCAGAGATCAGCAACTATTGGCTCTGCCCCTCTGCACCAAAGAATTGCATATGACTAAGTTAGGCGACACAGCAGCAGGGTTGGGCTGGCAGTTGGGCACCGTTTCCCTGATAAAACACAAATAATACACAAACAAGCGGCTTAGGAGACCTCAAATTGATATCTGGAACCCAGAAGCCCCCTAAGAGACTTGTTTCCCAAGTGAAACCTCTATTAATTTCTGCCCATGCCCACTTCCGTCCCAAGCTGAGCTCAGGAAGTCCGGGCGGGCGTCAGGGGGCCTATGACTTCTGCAGGCCAAGCTTTCTCAGCCTCAGGGCTGAACCTCATGAGGGCTCCTGGGCCTGAGAAGGGCTCCCCGGGTTCTTTCCAGACTTGGTGGTACTGGCTCCTGAGTGGGGGGGCTGGAGGGAAGCCACGGGGCTGTGGGAGGGCAGGAGCCCTTCTCGCTCTCGTTTCTTCTGTTTCATCCTGCGATTCTGGAACCAGATTTTTACTTGGGTATCATTGAGCTGCAGGGAGTTGGCGATCTCGATGCGTCGGGCTCGAGTCAGGTACTTGTTGAAATGAAACTCTTTCTCCAGTTCTGTCAGTTGCTTGGTGCTGAAATTCGTGCGGATGGCGCTGGAGGGGCTGGCGGCTCCGAACTCGGCGGGTCGGCCTGCAGGTACAGACAGGGCGTCAGCGGGGGGCGCGGGGCCCCGGGCTCAAGGGCCCGCGCACCTCCCGGAGCAGCGCGCCGAGGGCTGCTGGGGGCCGGGCACACGCCCGGACGTCGACTGGGGGCTCGCTCGATGGCAGGCGCCGGGGCCAGCAGCGCCCCGCGAGCGCCCCTGCTCCGTAGGCCCGCGCCCCGCGCGCCGCCCGAGGCCCGCACTTACTTTTCCGAGGGGCGCTCCTCCTCACTTTCATCCACTCGAAGGTGCTCAAGGCGGCGGGGAGGCCGGAGGCGGGCGAGGCCGACGTGGGGTAGGCCCCGGGGCCCGGGGCCGCGGGCTGCAAGGCGGCCGGCTCCCTGAGCCTGGCGGGCGGCCCGGGCTCGCCGAAGGCCGCGTAGTCCACCTGGCCGCTGAGCAGGAGGGCGCCGCCGCCCGAGAAGACCGCCGAGGTGGCGTAGTGGACGCGCGCCCCGCCGTCGTCCGCCGGCCGCCCCAGCGCGCACGGGAGGTCGTAGGCCGCGCCGGGCCCCGGGCAGCCCAGGTCCGCCCCGCCGGCCGCCGCAGGTGCGCCGCCCGCCTCGTAGGCGCCCTCCAGGCTGCAGGGCGCGAAGGCGGGCGCGGCCGGGGGCGGCGCGGCCAGAGGCGCGGGCCGGGCGGCGGCCAGGGGCAGGCAGCCCACGAAGGCGCCGTCGCCGCCGCCCAAGGGGAAGGCGGGCGGCAGGGCCGCGGGGCGGGCGTCGGCGCGGCAGAACTTGGGCGCGAAGCTGAGCACGTCGCCGCCGCCACCGCCGCCGCACGACACGTACTCCAGGTAGGAGCTCATGGCTGCGGCGCCCCCGCCGGAGCGCGCGGGCCGGGGCGCGGAGTGCGGAGCGCGGGGCCGGAGCGTGCGGGGCGCGGGGTGCGGAGCGTGCGGGGCGCGGGGTGGAGAGCGCGGGGCGCGGGGTGCGGAGCGCGGGGCCGGGCCGCCGCGGGCTGCGCCGCTCCGCGCGCCCTCCTAGCCCAGCTGCCTTCGCCGAGCCATGGCAAGCGAGCCGGAGGGAAATAGTGGCCTAATATAGTGGCGGGGGTGGCCACGTGGCGCCGGCCCGCCAATGGGCGCCCGCCCCGCACGGCCGGGGTCCCGGCTGCACGCGCCTGCCCCGCAGCCAACTTCGCCCCACCTGCGGGCGGCCGCGGCCCAGCGCCCCGGGGCCCGGGGAGACCGGCGCGGCCCCGGGGCGGGCGGGGCGCGAGCGCGGGACGCGGGCTTCGGGACCGGCACCGACGGAGCGGCGGGAGAGCGGCGGGGCTGGCCGCTGGGTGAGGACCAGAGCTTAGAGCGGGAGAAGCCTGTTCTTCGGGATGCGGGGGGGGGGGGGGCTCGCCCCTGGGCTGCCGACCTCGGCACTAAGCTGGGGACTGGGGCCCGTGGGGACCGCCCGTAGCCTTTGTCCCCCCCCCTCCCCTGCGCTTGCGGGTTTTCCTGGCGCTCGAGTTCTCTCTCTCCTAAACCTGGAGCACAGGCTTGACTGTCCCTCGTTCTGTCCCTCCCTCCGATTCGGGGGACGAAGTTGTACGTCCTGGGGGCCGCGTACCTGGGGCGCACAAAATCCCCGCGTTTGGACTAGATTTTCACGTTACTTCGCAGCGTTGCCTTCAGTTCGCGTCCCTTCCATGTGTGGCGGCGTGACTAGGTGCGTGTCGGGGCGCCAGGTTCGGGTTGGGGCAAGAGATGGGGGTTCCGCCTTGGGGGGGGGGCTGCACCAGATCCCCCCCTCTGCCTAGGCTGCGGGAGTAAGGAATGTGCCCGCGGGGGGGCGGAACGCTGGCACCCGCCCCCCCCCCCCCCAGGGCTGCGCACGTTCGCTGCAGCGCGCCAAGGCTTCCCAGGGACCGGTCAGATCTCAGAGGTTTGGACAGGCTTGTACCTCGAGGCAATTAAAGCTTCTGTTCCATCAGATAAGTGCTGCGTCGTCTCTTGCGAGTGAAATGTGAGGGCTCACAATGTTAATGGGCTCACGTCTTTCCCTTGATAATATGGTTTTGTTTTACTGAGCATAGAGAGACGGGAAATAAAAGTGCAACTGGCGCAGGAAATGAAGAGTAGAAGGGTTACAAAGACAAGCTTTGCATTGACAAACTTCCCAACTTCCTCCAACATTTCTTGTAATGCTTTCCTCTTTGGGGCCGTAGGAAAATAACAAATTAAATAAATAAACGGTATTTACACACAGCAGTCATGAAGGAGAGTGGTTTCCTAAAACTGTGTGAATGGGGTCTACTCTTGGCTTATTCAAGTGCCCTTGAGAATTTGATCTGTTATAGCCTCTTAGTTATGGTGACAGAGGTTTTATTATTGTTTTACTGATCCACTTGTCATGAAAGAGCGATTGAGGCTTTCCCTAAAATTCCACTTGGAGGAAGCCTGGAAAGTCGGAGCCATCACAGTCGGGGGAGCCAGTTCCTTACTGGGATGTGAACTTGTGAATAAACAAAGTCACACCAAAAGTGTTGCGGGTGAAGCTGAAGTTGAGCCAAGGTGAGGAAGGGGTAGGTAGAGAGGACACACCTAGGAATGAGCACAAAGCTAACAGGTCTGGAGTTCCTACACTTCTGGATTTCTTGGGTTTGATTGGGAAACAGAATCCTGTGCTGAAAATCAAAGCTTCACACTTGATGTTGCTACTTTCAGTTTGCTCCTATGGCCAATCAGATGACAAAGGTCCTAAGTAGTTTTTTTGAAAGGAAAAAAAATAGAGGCTCTTTTTTAGCTTCCTGATCAGGAAATGGGAGAGCTAGCTCAGCCTTCATATGTAGAAGCATTTCTTTGCCTTTTCCCATTCTGGGCTCTTAATACAAAAATATCAGCAACTCAGATGCTGCTGAGTTCACATAACACCTCACTCACCCCTGACTAGACTTTAGTAGCCAATTTTTCCTAGCATTATGGCCCAGTGAGTACACTTCTATCTCAAAATCATAGGTGCCCATTTAAACACAGCTCCTAGGCCTAGAGGCCCCAGCAGGTCAAGAAGGGGGATGGCCTTGTAAACCTCTCTGGAGAAGACATCACCTGGCTGCAACTCAGGATGTAGGGCAGAAAATCCAGCCTGATTGGCAAGTCTGACCAAAACCTATCAAGGGTTTTGCTCTAAGGTTTCAGGAGAAACAGGCAGCCTTCGCAGCTTGGCAAACTTCATTGCAAAAGGGACTGGGGTTTTCCTGCTAAGCCTTTAGGGCAAAGGTTGGGTCCTTGCTATCACAATTAAGCATTGACTTTGATGTACCCATAAGCTGTCCACACTATTTCCCTGAAGCAAAATTTTGGAGATTGAACTTCTGCTGGTGGAAGAAAATGTCTTAAAAGGGAGAAAGATTTTTTTTAATTGTGTTGTTTTCAAAACTATGGGTGAGAGTGGGTGGGTGGGTTGCTCAGTATTTTTTCAGACCCAGTTGCAGGTCTCTGATGATCGCTACATTCTGTTCATTCTCTTTACTCCCTCAGGCTCATATCCTATATCTTGGGGCCCAGAGCTGGTATCTCCATTCCTGGGCTGGTTCTTGACTTGCTCAGATTAGAGTCAAGACTCTTGTTACCTCACACTCAGATTCAACATTTGCCAAAGACCTACTGTGTAAGAACATTTTATTAGGGGAGGTCTAGGCTACAAAAAAAAAAATAATATATATATACATATATATATGTTTGTTTGTTTATTTATTTATTTATTTATTTATTTATTTATTTATTTATTCTCAAGCCAAAGGAACTAGGGATTCATTACTGGCACAGGTCGCAGCTATATTATAAATCTACTCCAGAAGAATCTGAATCTATAATTTTCTAAGGAGAGATTGGAAGATATTATTGGAGGAAATGTATGGAGGATGTAAACATAGGATACCTTGAGTACCTTTAAAGTTTGTCTCCTAGATGTTCACAGGGTATAAGAGAAATGTCTTACTAATTTTATTGCTTGTTCAAGTCGTGAATTCCCAAGGGTCACTTGGCCTGCTAGGTCCTGGTGCTGTGAGTTCTCAGCAGGAGGTGACAGCAGAGGGGCCTGATTGCCAGGTTGTGTTTGATGTAGGAATGCTTTGAAATCTCTCCCATACTGCTAACCAAGGCAGCCACCCCCACCCCTGCCCCATAACAACCTTTGTCTCTCATTCCAACAACAAGCTTTTTTTCCTGCAGACAGAAGGCAGAAGTGATGGAAGGATGTCACTCTGGTCTTCTGTGTGTTTACAGTTGTTCCTAAGAAGTCTCGTGCAACCCTTCTATACAAGTCTCGTCATGTTACCCCCTTGGAGATGTTTTGAGCACATGCATACTCTTGGCCCCACAGCCCCCAAGGATAGAAAGGCTCTTGCTTGTTGAGGTGAAAAGCAGGCGGGGAGGTGGGCTTTTCTCTTAAGTAAGATTTGTAGTTCTCTGCAGCAGCCTTCAATTTTCCCATAATGGAAGTGGGGGTGAAAGGGATCCCAAGGACTAACATGAGCCTCCCTGAGGAAAACGGTTTAGAGTGCTGTGCCTTTCCCCGAGAGCCTTGTGAATGAAAGGCTCATGGGTCAAGCCCTTGCGTGGGACACAGTAAACAGACAAGAAATGTTTGATGGACAGAATGGTGTGTTTTTACCATGACTAATATTGGCTAAAGGATAGCCTTAGATTACTGGCTCCCAAAACCACTTCATGAGGATAGGAATCATAATAGAAGCTTCTTTAAATGTGCAGGGGCCTGAGCCCACGCAAGAGATTTTCACCCAGTGTATCTGTCTCCAGTAGGCGTTTCAGTAAGCCTCATGGGTGATTCTAAAGCAAGGTTCTTTGGAACCATACTTTGAGAATTTCTGCTTCAGAGTGGGGTGGGCAATGTGGGGAGAGAGGGGTGGTTCTGTGGGAGGGGCCCTTGACCAGCACTGTGAGAGCTCCTGGCTAGCTGGAACATGAGTCTGAACAAGGCTGAGAAGCCTGTTGGGTGGTAGGGGCGGAGAATGTCACGGCCAAACCTAAGTCTAGTTGAGGTGAAGTTTCATAAAATATCCTTAAGTAGTAGTCAGTAGGAGTTTCACCAGTTTTGCTGACAAAATATGCTTTGCAGAGACCTGGCTTCTGCTCCTTTCCACTTTCCTAACTTGGCTTTGAGGATGCCGGTGAGATAGTAAATGAAAGGGTTTTGTCTATCCCAGTCTCCCCAGAGAAAATTCAGAGTGGTTTTGAGGTATTGGAAAGAAGGAAGAGGTAGGAATGGGGGGTGGGGAGGGTCTCAAGAGGGAGGAGCCAACTCTTCTTTCCTTCCACCTCTCCCAAATTATCTGGAATGAGTATTTGAGCTCCAGGGACCCAGAAGGGATGAAATGTCCCTTGCCTAAGCTGTAACTCTTTCTTTGGTTAAAGATGGGCCTATCATATCATAAAACGTCAGTGCAAGAAGGCCCCTCAGAGGTAAGTGACACTGAACCACTCGTTTTAGAGAGGAAGTCACTTTACTCAAAGGTTAAAAGACAAAAGCATCCTGCAAAAAATGAGGGAACTAATGGGTCTCCTGACTGTCTGCAGTCGGCTGCCTGTCCACAGCCTACAAAGAGGGAAGAGTAAAGCAGCCCCTCCTCCACACTGTGGCGTCCTCCCTGTGCAGCCAACAGAGCAGTGTTCATGGAGACACCCTTTTTCTGGGAGACCATACAGCTGGTGTGGCTGACTGGGAAGCTTGCTGCCCTCTCTTTGCAGTTTGTTTGCTAAAATTGTGCTCCAAACTTCTGAGGGCCCACCTTGAGCCACTCCTGCAAGAGAAGGCAGAGATGGATCTGGGTCCTTACCTCCTCCAGCAAGCAAGAGTAGAGGATCCCTTCATCTCCCGCTGAGCTTGATCCCTGGGGGATCAAAACCAGAAGTGTCCCTAGAGTAATGTAACTGGATAGTACAAAGTTAGCACAAGTGTGAACACACACAGGTACACCCAGGCCAGTTACATTTGTACTAATCTCTCTCTCTTTCTCTCTCTTTTGCACCTTTATTTTTTAAACAGGTAACATATTTAAATTTATGTGGTGCAGAATTCAAAGGTATGCAGTGCTGTACCACGATGGTATGCAGTGAAAACCTTTCTCCCATCCCTGTCCTCAGCCACCTAGTTCCCCTTCACTAGTTATTAGTTTCTTGTATATCTTGCCGGAGATACTTCATAGGTCTCCATCTATCTATAAATTCCCCCACAATTTTTGCATAAATGATAGCATATTAGGTAGACTCTTTTGCCCCATGCTTTCCCTCCTATCATATCTTGAAGGTCATTTCATAGAAGTGCCTACAGAACTTCCTGGTTTATTTTTACTTCATGCTGTCCTGTACCCATGTACCACAATTTATTTAACTAATCCTCTTCAATAGGTATTTAGCGTATTTTCAGTCTTCTGCTATTACAAACACATGTTCAAGTTTTTGACCTATAGAAAAATTCCCAGACATGGAATCACTGAGTGGAAAGGATGTGCACTGGCAATTTTGATACAAATTGCCAAATGGCTCTCCTTAGAAGTGCATCAATTTTTACTTCTACTGGCAACATAGGAGAATTCCTTTTACTTCATACCCTTGCCATCTCAGTGGGGTAGTAAAATTTTTTATTTTTGCCAATCCAATAAGTAGAAAATAATACCTCTTACTGGGCAGCCGAGGTGGCTCAGCGGTTTAGTGCCGCCTTTGGCCTGGGTTGTGATCCTGGGGACCCGGGATCGAGTCCCACGTCTGACTCCCTGCATGGAGCCTCCTTCTCCCTCTGCCTGTGTCTCTGCCCCTCTCTCTCATGCTCTGTGTCTTTCATGAATAAATAATAAAATCTTCATAATAATAATAATAATACCTCTTACTTACCCTTAGAGCACCTCCAAAAATGCCATTCTTCTTTATCTTGTTTGATCCTTTCATAATTCTATTTTACAAATGTAATATGACACAGAAAAGATAAACTACTTGTTGTCATCATGCCCAATGTAAATAGCCAAGGTCAGATGTCCAATACTCTTTCCTCTACACTGCACTGTGTCACAAGGAAGCCTAAGGAGGTTCAAAGAGAGTGGGTGGCTTCAAGCATTCCCTGAAAGACACAGGATATAAAAAAAAGCTTTCTGACATCTGCTAAGAGGCCTCCTCTTTAGTGGTTTGATACCAGGACCACATTTCTGCACGTGTCCCTGGAGAGGACCCTCCGGAAGCGGAGGAGCTCTAATTAGTAATATGATCTGACCTACTCCTAAGCATTAGCTTGGATTCAATATCTGGGAAGCAGTAGGGTGTTGTTTTTAATTTTCCTGAGACCTATTTCAACTGGCCACCCAGGATCTAAATATTGATCAGCATGGTGTGGGCGAGAGGATGTTTTCCCTAGGTTTTAGCTTTGCATAGGACACTCACTTGGACCTGGTGAGGGTAATACCTAATGCAGGCATGTACACACACACACACACACTCACACACACACACAAATGGTAAACTCCTGAGGTAGACATCGAAATAGACATCTATTTCACTGGTGATGAAACTGAAGGCCAGAAAAATGAAGTGAATTGTATAGGGTCATAGAGTGTATCGGTTAGCAAAGCAGAAAACACAATGTAGACCTACCACTGAGTTCCTCAGTATCCCCTGCAAAGTCTTCTCTTCCCCAGCCTGCATTCATTTTGGTGAATGACCAGAGTACCGGCTCAGGCTCTCTAAATAGAAACCTAGGGATTAGCATTCATAACTCCTTTTACTCATCCAGTTATCACCAAGTCCTGTGAATTTGTCCCCCTGAATGTTTTTCCTCTTTATCCTCATTACCTTAGTTCCTCTCTCTGCTAGATTATTGCAGCAGAGAGAGGAACTTTTTCCTTCCCTCCTAACACACAGTATCCCAAAGAGCAGCCTTACTAAATAGATAACCTCACATCCCAGCTTAAAACCTTCAGTGGCTACCTACTGTCTACAGATTAGGTCCAGTCTCCTTTCCATGGACCCCATGCAACTTCTCTTTCCAGCCAGATGCTCTACTCCAAATGATTCTTCTTGTTCCTGGTCCAGACCTTGCTCTTTCTTCCCTCCTTGCTTTGCATGTGCTGCTCTCTGTGCCTGGTACATCCCTCCTTCCTTCCTAAAAAACCTCATACTTCAGGAACCCAAATTCACATCCCCTGAGAAGCCTTTTTTTTTTTTTTTTTGACAGTGCAGTGGTGATAGTGGCTCTTTCTTTTTATTCCAGGAACATTTTGACCACACCTGTGTTACAGCATCTGTCATGCTGTTTTAGGATTCTTTTTCTCCCCAGTAGATCAAAGGGCACACACTATTAGTGACTCATTTTTATAGCTCAGAGCCCAGCACCGTGCACGCAGGAGCTGTTCAGTAGGTGCTGCTGAAAGGCAAGGGAGAGAGGGACAGGCTCCAAGCCAAGGACAACAGGGCCAGTATTTTAATCGCTTAATGAGTTCAGAACACTGTGCGAGGCTTAATGCTTCAGCTTATTATCTGTGTAAAGCAAAATGATAATAGAATATCTCTCCAAAGCCAGCTAATTTCCACCCAATGGATGCTGAAAGAGTAGAGGGGAGGGGGGAGCTGGAAGTTTCTGTCTTTCAAGGGTTCTTTCCTATAGGCTGAGGCAACACTTCACTAACTCCAGAAACTTCTCAGCTGATGTCACTCAGAAAAAGAGTAAAAGAGGGGGTAGCCTGGAACTTTCTTAGAATTTACCAAGAGGACTACAAGTACCACTCAAGAGAGGGTATAAGAATGCCTCACCACACACTTCCCACTTCCCCAAGCCCTCCTGCGCTAGAGGGCTCTAATGCTAATAACCCCCCCCCGCGCCCCGCCTCCCCAGGCCCCGCGCGCGGTTTTCAGTCCATCCCTTGATGCTATTTCTAAAATGAACCCCAAAAGAGCTGAAGTAAAAATACTCCAGTCCTTCTGTCACAGCAGAACAGAGAAGGAGAGGCGTATCATTGTGGTTGGTATTTTAAGTGTATTTTTATTGTCCTTTTTATATGGCATTCAAGTTGAGTTCCAAGTTCAACAGTCCAAGTGTTACCCTGCCTCCTCCCACACGAATTACTTCTGCAGGTGAAGAAGACAAGCAAACTAGCTCCGCCCCGTTCCCCGAAGCCTTGTCTCCCGGGAGTCTTTTTAAAAATCCCCACACAGTGTCCGCGAAGGCCTCCTGCCCAGCGGGACTCGGCTGGTTCTGGCTAGGGAGAGGTGAGCGGCCCTTTCTGGGCGTGGGGAGCGTTAGGGGGCGGCGGGGCTGGGAGGGAGCAGGTGGGGCGGGCCCGGGAGGGTCCCCCGCGGTCCGGGGGCGGGGCCGGCGTGTCGCGGCCTCCGCGGCTCCCCCGCGTGCCCGCGTCTCCCCTGCTTGCGGCTTCTGGTCGGCTCGCAGCTGGCCCCGACTCGCTCCGAAGTGGGAGGAACGGCTGTCGAGCGGGAAGTGCACCCCGGGTGATTGATGAATCCTTAACGGGACCAACCTCTGCCGCCGCCAACGCCGCCGCCGCCGCGCACGCGCACGGGGCCCCCGCCCCGGCCCCCGCCCCGGCCGCCGCCCCGCGGGCCGGGTAGCTCACCGCCCCCCCCCCGCCTCCCGAGCTCGGGGCCGCAGGCCCGGGGGGCGCGGAGCGGGCGCGCGCCTCTCGAGCCTTTGTGCGGCGCGGCCGCCGGGGCGCCCGAGGGAGGCGGCGGCTATTGTTCCCCGCGGGGGAGGGGGCGCTGCGGCTCCCCGGCGGGTCCCCGCGGCCCGGGACGGGCGGGGGCTTCCTTTGTGTGCGCTGCGCCCGCGACGGGAAGGGCGCGTCGCTGCCGCCCGGGGGCCGCGGCCGAGGGAGGCTGGTGGCAGCTCCGCCACCGCCTGGAGCCCAGCGCCGCCGACCGCGTCCCCGCGCCGCGCTCGCGGAGGAGGCGGGAGGGACGTGGTGTTGGTAGGGCAGCGCTTGGAACAATAGAGCCATCAAAGGGCCTCTCCGCGTCTCCGCGGGAGTCGGCGACGCTCTGCCCCCCTCGGTCGGAAAGGCCCAGGCCCAACAGGTCCCCTTGGCCTGCTGCTCGGCCCGCCTCCCCAGTGGAAACCCTTCATCAGTACCGCCAGGCTTCTCCGGGAATCCTGATGTAAATTCAAGTCTCCTCCTGGGGCTCCTACTAATGTTAAAATCCTATTTTCATTATTTTCCAGATATTGTTCTCCCATACATATGATCCAGACTAGCTCCAGGAGCCAGTCAAGAGATTTTGCCACAGGATCTAGGGCAAAAGGATTTACCTCCTATCACCCACCTTGCAGATCTCCTAGGGACCTTTCGCCTTCTGCTGCTGCTGCTGCAAATGATTGGACATCCATTTGCATTTCCTCTTCCATCCTGTGGGGAAACCTTTTGTTTACTGTGCTCCAGGCTGGGCCTGGCCTGAAAGTGGGTCCTTGAATTACCTTTGTACTATTCCAACTTGCCAAGGTGGTTTTGAGACCTGAGGGCCGTATTCAAGCATGGGCGTTAGGCCAAGTATATATGTAATCCATATGGTACCAACGGTGGGCCCCAAAGATAACAGCATCTGTAGCTGGACCAGAAGACAAGCTACAATGAAAACTAAGATTTTATCCTCTGTGATGATCTTCTCCACCACCAGCACCACCAATGCAGTAAGTACAGAGGATTCACCTACCCAGTCTTTTTTTTTTTCTTCTTCTTCTTCCTCTCCATCCAGGCCCTCTGCAAGAGAGATCTAAGTGAGCTAGTCCTAAGAGGTGGTAAGGGTATGGCTGGTGACTCAGTGTCAGCTCTCTGTGCCCAAGGTGTCTAAGGATAAGTCTGCTCACCCAGTTGCAGTGCCCCAAAGTGATGAGGCTGTAGGCCTGTGGAGATTGGGGTCTTCTGGCCCTCTTTGTATTTTTATTTAATACTCACATACTTCTGTTCATCCTGGTTTTTTTTTTTTTTCTTACAGTTCCTGAAAGGACCAAAGTAATGCCAAGAACCCCCAGATGAAGAGGACCTTCCTGGATCTGTAACTGGGATTATTTAATCAATTTTGTACTTCAAGAGAAAGTTTCCACTAATTCTGAGGATAAAGCCAAACAGGCCTGTGACAGTCCCTTGAGTACTGACAGTGTAAACAAGCTTCTGGCTTCCCCAGGTCAAGCAGAGAAACACTTTTCATTAGAATGTTGGGTTTCTTCTTTGTTATTCAAACATACACCCACACATATCCTCTTCACCCTGGCTAATGAAAAACCTCAACAGATGGAGAGCCTAGGCTCCCCAGACTTATGGCTGAGGAGATGCACTTCCCTCAGTGTGGGTTGGCTGGTACAGAATGGGGGAGGGAGAAGAAATGAGTAGCTAGTATAGGTAATCACTATCTTTTAATACTCCTTACAGATAGAAATTCGAAAAATCCTGTTCAGCAAGGTTAGCAGCCTGTGGGGCCTCGGAAGCCAATTTGGCTGATGTGTCTCTAATAGGGACTAGGCTTGGGGCGGCACCAGGGGGAAAGAACTCACTCCATATTCTCTCTCTCTCTCTCTCTCTCTCTCTCTCATTTGAAAGCCTGTAAAAAGAAATGGTACAAATGGATGGTTAACTTAATGATTCATCAGAGGCGGATTTTTCTCTGTCAGGTCCCTGGACGAGGCTGAGGCCTGAAAGCCAGGAGGCAGAACATTTACTTAGCGCCCTTTCTTACCGCCTTTGGGGGGAGGGGACAGGACTACTCTGCAGACCGTTCCTCTGCGACTTCCCCATACTCCCGGCCAGCTCAGTTGGGTCCCTCTACCCCCTCGGGCTGGATCCTGAGTTTCTCCCGGTAGCCAGGGCAAGCTCGCCCTCAGCCTGTCTTTCCCCGCCCCCACCTCCCATTCTGCAGTGGGCCATCCGTGCAGCCTCCTCTCCACCCTGCTTTAATTCAACTGCCGGGCCGTTAGAACAACCAGGGGCTCCCAAAAGGCTGCCACCCCCATGCACGGGCCTGGGCTTCAGACTCCAAGCCTCAGGAGGCTCCCCCCCCCCAACCTCCGTGACCCCTCCCCTCCCCCACTCTACCCTTCAGCGGTCTCCATAGGAGAAAAAGGCAGAGAGCTGAGCAAGGCCTGAGCCAGAGCGCCGCTTCCTCCCTCGGAGCGGCGGACGAGGTCAGCCTCCCGGAGGCCAACCCGAGACAGGCCCAGCCCGTGCTCCCCTCCCGGCGTAGGCCCCACGGCGCGCAGCCCCCGGGAAGCTGCGCGCACAAAGGCGCCGCCGCTGCTGGAAGGCCGGGCTGCGGCTCTGCCCCGAGCGCCCTGCACCCGCAGCCTCGAGGCCTCGGGGCGCCCCCGTCGCTCCCTCCCCGCCTCGGGCGGAAGCCCCGGGCTGGGGTGGAGGCGCCCCTCCGCCGCCAACCTGCCCCTTCGCGCCGCGAGCCCCCCCCTCCCCGGGCCGCGCTCCCCTCCCCTCCCCCACGCGCTCTCCCCGCCGCTCGAGGGCCCCGAGGGGGAGGCGGGAGCCCCCCGCGCTGCAGCGGCTATTGTGACCTTCCGCCGCCGCTGAGCGGGAACCCAGCGCGAGCGAGCGCGCGACCGGCGGGGGAGGGGGCGGCTGTGTGTGCAGACCTCGGGGTGCGGGGGGGCGGGGGGGCGGGCGGCAAATAAATAAAGGTTTGCAACCTGGGGCAGTTGGGCGCTTCAGAGGGCGTTCGGTTGTGTTTAGACTCCGGTGCTTCCTAAAGCTAATTGCAGGCTCAAAAGGAGCAGAATTTATGGCGAAGGCCAAGGCGGCTTGTTTATAATTTATGAAGTTTTAAATGGCTGAGCCGCGGGCCCCCCTCTCGCCCCGGCCCAGGGCCGCGCGGGAAGCGCCGACCCAGACTCACCACCGCGCCCCCCTCCCCGCGCCGGGAGCCACCGAGTGTGCCCATCACATGACACTCACGCCAATGGCAGCAAAGAATCCGAGCTATTCTCAGAAGCCTCGGGAAACATTTCCCCAAAGGTGAGAGAAAGCCGATTTGTCCCAAGCGACCCCACCACCACCACCTCATCAGAGAGGGGTGCCTCTGGGCCACCGCCCCGAGAGGGAGCCCCCAACCCCGCACTTGTTTGGAGCCTCAGTGTGGGAGGAGGCTGGTGGCAGCCGGCCTAGACACCGTTTACTGTCTAATCCATGAAACCCTAAGCCGCAGATGACACTTGGGGCCTTTGCAGACACCCGCAGACTCAGCAGATACTCCTGCGGTAACACACCGCGCTGGAAAACGCCTGGAGCCATAATGCATTATGTATTTTTATTATTATTTATGGTAGGAAGAGGAGATGAGGGAAAACCGGGCTGAATCTAAACAGCCTGATAATTCATCTATTTAATATTTAGCCAGTTAAGAAAGGTTGTTGTAATCCCTGCAAGGCAGCAAGCTCTTCTCTGACTTCCCTAATAGCTTAAAAAATAATTTCTTACAAGACAATTAGAAATTCTGCCTATCGATGCAAATTTCATAGAAAACAATTTTAAGCCTTGAAAGTGGGTAAAATATCCCTTCAGTTGAAGTCATTTATTCTGTTGATACACTTCTACAACATGTATATTCTAAACCTGCTCAGATAAAGTGAAATTTTAGCAAAAGGATAATCCCCTCCCACCCCCAACCTAACATGCCATTTTAAAAACAGCACAAAGGAACAAGGAAACTAGGTATTATTGGAGCCATCATTATTTAGCGAAACACAAACATCCAAATAGAAACGATTGTTGTTCCACCAGAAGATTAGAAGTTAAATTATTTCCACACAATGGGAATTTCACCTCGTGTCACCGGGGATGTAGTAGGAGTTGCATTATTTGTCAAACCAAATAGAGATGCGTGGGCAGACTTTGCTGAAATACAAAAGAATTGAACCTTATCTGAAGGCGCTTTCCAAGTGTCTCCTGATAGAGGAGCGGGTGGACGTTGTCCGCCTCTAGCTAAAGCCACACTAATATTTACAAAATGGATATTAACCCTTGAAGACATTTTTTGCCCGTTTTGTACAAAGAAACAGGAATAAACAAGGTGTTTGTACTTGTTATGTTCCATTAATGAAACTTTTATTACTTTACATCGCGGGGGATGTCTGTTTACTTTAGAAATGAACCACCAACCGTTATAAAGGAAAAAGTCCTGACAGCATTTCCTAGAGAAAAAGCTTAGGTGCGTGTTTCCAAATGATCTTTTCTTTTTGTGCACCTCAGCTTTTTCATAGCTCAGTTCTTACAACTTCACGTGTGTCTTTTCTTTGATTGTCAGTTTTCTCTTAAAGTTTATTTTTTATTAGCGCAGAAAAGTGAGTGCTGGCCTCCCCAGTGTAAATGCAATCTTTAAAAAGTCGATTTGTGTTCTAAAAAAGAGGGTGGTGGAAACAGCATAAGCAGGCACAGCACAAAGCCCTACCCAAATTATCCCGCCCAGGCCATTTCTAGGCTTGCATCCTCAGATTTTCTCCCCTGATGTCAATAGCTGCAATGTAATCAAGTATCCCCAGAACCAATTCGTGTGCCAGATTCCAAATACATTTTTTTTTAATGTACACATCCAAGAGTCAGCCTACTTGGGGGCCTTCTATTGGGATTGTGCGAAAGATAAAAGGCAGAGTGATCTACTTCCAAGTGTGCGTGATTAACACAGATACACTTCCGACTGAGAAATTTTTTTTATTCTAAATATTTGTTCAAATAGTACCAGACAATTTGAAATCAATAAACTGTGTCGAGTGGTGAGGGCTGCGGCTGTTGAGAAATGAGTAACGGGTGTCGTGCCACGCCAAGGGGCCGCCTGACTCTACCCATGAAGGACAATTTGCGGTCTTAATCCTTTACATCAACTACAAACACCAGCCACGGTTACAACTGTTCAAAACTACTCTCTCAACTAGTTCAGACCAAGGGGACTAAAGAGGTGAAACGTGGCCCCCGCGGCCTGGGAGCGCGTTCCTAAGCTTGGCTGGAGAATTCTACAAATATACACATAAATACATTAAGACGAGGATAAATAATCAGGGAAACGAAATGACTCGCTTCAAATAATAAATACAGATCGTTGAGTCCGATGCAATCCTTACGGGACGGGAAGGAGCACATAAATTAAGGTCTCCGTCACTAAGCTAGACGCGGGCCAGGCCTCGGGCTGTCCGGGCTCTGGTCCCTCCGCAGAGCGCGCCGCCGGTGGGTCTCGGACTTACCTTCGGGACACCACTACCCGATTAGAGTCCCTCGGTCCGCAGTATATGGCACTGTCGGGGTTACAGAGGAGAATCCTTGCGGCTGATTTATGGCGAGTCACCCCAAAGAGGGCGCGCCTGGAGGGGAGGCCCAGCCGCCCGCGTCTCGGCCGCCGCGGGCCGGAGACCAGGAGGCGGCGACCGGGCCGGAGCGAGGGAGGGGGTCCCCGAGCTGCCCCGCGGGCCCCGCCCGCCACCCCCGCCACCAAAGCAAAAGAGGTAATTGCGCCGCGAGTCCGGGCCGGTGGCGGCCGCTACAGATGCGTCAGTTTGGGGGCCTCGGGCAGGCGTCCCTGAGACGAGTGGTGCGCCGACAGATCTGTGTAGGTGGGATGAGGGTCGCACGGTCCGTGGTGGTGGTTGCCCGGGATCTGCGCGGCGCAGCTGTAGTCCACGCTGGCCGAAGAGGGGTGCGAGAGGTGGCCCAGGTTGAAGACGGGCCCGGACGCCGGCGCCATGGAGTCGACGAAGTTGCCACCCACGTACACCGGGCTGCCCTGCAGGTTGGCGCTGGCGAAGCCGCCGCCGTTGCTCGCCATGGGGTGGGGCTCGAACTCGGGCGCCGCGTAGCGCTTCTGCTGCGGCAGGCAGCTGCTGAGCGGCGCCGTGTAGGCGGCCAGGCCGTACATGTTGGGCTGAGATTTGGCGAAGGCGGGCGGCGAGGGCGCGTCGTAGGCCAGGCCGGGCACGGGCGGCAGCTGGCCCGAGTAGGCCACGTGGCCCGCGGCGCTGCCCAGCGGCGGGCTGCGCTCCGGGGACTGCCCGGCCGGCGAGTGCAGGATGCCCTTGGCCTTCTGGTCCTTCTTGTACTTCATGCGCCGGTTCTGGAACCAGATCTTGATCTGGCGCTCGGTGAGGTTCAGCAGGTTGGCCATCTCCACGCGGCGTGGCCGGCACAAGTAGCGGTTGAAGTGGAATTCCTTCTCCAACTCCACCAGCTGTGCACTCGTGTACGCCGTGCGCACCCGCTTGGACGCTGGGCCCGGCGGGCTCTTATCCTCGCAGCTCTCTCCTGGGCAGGAAGGGAGGTAGAGGGGATGCTGAGCGGGAGAGGAGGGGGCACCCAGGGCTGCAGCGGGGTGCTTCCCTGGCTCCTCTATCCCTCCCCCCACCTTGGGAGTGGGGGAGGGGCGGCTGAGAGGTGAGATTCTGAGCGGGACCTCGAAGGCCCCAGTCCTACCTAGGAGTTGCACCTGAACCGCCCCCCCCCCAATCTGCCTTCTGAGGTCCTATTCACTCTGCCGCCCCCTCCCTTCCAGCCTAGTCCATCATCCTGTCCCTAAGGCTAAGGCTGTGGAGGAGTTTAATGAGAGACTAGTAGCAGCTGCTGAGGCCTAGCCACCACCCCCCTCCCAGCCCCCATTAAAGAAGGGCCAGACTTCTTTGAACACTCTTCCCAGACTCTGCTGGGGGATGGAGGAGAAAGGCAGCTCCCTCTCTCCCCTCCTCAACCTTGCTTCGGGGCTGGCTACTGAGCAAAGCACCCCAGGAAGCACAGGATGAGGGTGGAGATCTGGGCACCTCACTCCAGCTCAGCTGCACCCAAGGGCTCTGCACCCAAACTCAGGGAAGTAAGAAACCATAAAAATACTGCCCCAGAG